GGTGGGTGGGTGGGGGGTGGGGGAATCCTTTTCATCCCCTTTGGATTTATCATTTCTGAAAGCAATCGAGAGTAAATACAGAATCGAGAAGACAAGCCGGTTTACATTTGTATTCGCGTTTCCGTTTTGATAGCAGGAGAGAGAAAAAAAGATAATATTGGACTGGGGCAGACACGAAAGAAATAGAATGGCGACGACGCCGGGATTCGGCTTGGAAACTCGCGGCACCGGCAAATACATTTATCTCCTCCTTAAGTGGGCTGCCTCTTTGAACTGAATAAATGCCAACGGAATAAAGGCTCTCGGCTACACACAAATGCAATTACCGGGCGTATTTCTCGAGTGTCCGGCTCGAAGACGCATGGCCCGTTTTACGTCACACAGTTGCTTCTGTTACGTGCCTGGCTGGGCTGTTGGCAGCCTGCTGAAAATTAACGGCTCGGCTCACCGCTCATTCGCGACTATTCGTGCCCCTCGTTAAAAATAACTCTTCCTACTGACTGTAGGGACGAATGAGGTTTCAGGGATGGTATTCCACTTGGCTGTACGGTGCTTGGGCATGGTTGCCTCAAGAACTTGAGCAAGGACCGTGGAGATCTTCAGGGACGAAGCAGACCCAGAAACCAACGTGGATGAGTGACTGAAACGTTCCTGTGAATCGAGATGGACAATTTTCGCGCTAACAGTGAAAAAATTGGTTTGTAGTAAGGTTAGAAAAATTTTGAAAATACACAAAAAATTACACGCCTCATAAACTTTTACGTTCTTTCGTATATATCGTTCGGGTATATTTATTCGTAAATGTCATTGCTACAAGGAGCGTATCTAAATTTAAAGCTCTTTAATTTCAACGATAAAGCACATTTGGGAATCAATTGTCCAAGGGTGTAATGGACCGTGAACCTTGTATCGGTATGCCTTTTATTAACCCTTGGCCAACGGTGGACTTTTAACGATTTATACTGAAGTTTGTAAAAAGCAACATGAAAGTACGACCTTGACGTAAATATATCGTAACGAGGGAAATGGATGCGAGAGAAATACGTATTAGGTAAGGGTGGTAAAATCTACCGTAAGATTTATGACTGCCAATAGCTATATCTTTTATACGGTGACGTAAGAATAGACAGGGAATCCAGGGTATAAACCAATAACAATTCATCCCCTGCTATTTGTGTCAGTAATGATTGCCAGTTTGTAGACCAATGTATGTTGTACACGAACCGCTTATTATATTACTTATTCCATTGTAAAATGGCGAAACGCTCGAGCATACTGGTATAAGGGTCTCATGCCGAGAGCTCGTTCACCATTTCGTTTTATATTACACCTCGAAACGCTCGAATTCGTACGATAAATCACGTGTAATCTAATCCCAGTAATTTGCGAACGAGGCTCCGTACCGTGCGAATTGCACAAATCGCCTATGAAAGTAACACGTAACTGCCCGAAGGGATGCTACCCCCTATGCTGACTTCCGTGACCTCGGGCAGTTACGGGCAGTACCCCCAAACCACGAGCCTACTTTCCGAGAGGTACGAGCCCCTAAGAAGAGCCAAGGGTAGGCGAGAGATTAAGAGGAGGGAGGGACGCCTGAATAATAAAATAATATTAAGGGATGACGATGACGTTACTTTCACCCATTTGCATTAATACGTATAATATTATATGTATGTTTGTAGGGGGAAAAAAAAAGTCAACATCCTCGTCAAGAAGTAAGCGTGACAGGGCATGCCAGGCTTGTGCACTTAAACCGGAAGCCAGCTTAATACCTGCATCCTGTGATTTAATAGTGCTTCCGGTTACACAGCCGACCACTCAATATTTCACTGGAGAGAAATTCTCTCCGTCTCTGTCTTTCGCATTTTCGTGGTATACCCTCTATCTCTCTCCTACGTGTACTCTACTTGATTCTCGTTCACGTATCTATATATATATATATATATATATATATGAGGCGTTCCATAGGTTAGGTATATACAGCAGTATACATAAGTCTATATAGCCAGCTCTCTACTTGATTCTCGTTCACGTATCTAAAATTCTCTCCGTCTCTGTCTTTCGCATTTTCGTGGTATACCCTCTATCTCTCTCCTACGTGTACTCTACTTGATTCTCGTTCACGTATCTATATATATATATATATATATATATGAGGCGTTCCATAGGTTAGGTATATACAGCAGTATACATAAGTCTATATAGCCAGCTGATACATAGAGTAGCCATTGCGTTTGGCTGCTGCCGCGTGGCGCGTGTCCTGGACATCGGTGATACGAGAGGATCCAGCTAGGGGTATGGTTGGTAGTATGAGAGGCTGGGGTTGCGGGCTAATATTTCCAGATTACGCCGGTGGGGGGATGCAATGCGGCGAGCAGAGGCGATAGCCAATATCGTGCTGACCAGCGCAGCTAGGCCACCGATTCGCCGATACCCGGACACTCCGGATACCCTGGACGCCCCCCTCAACACTGTCCTGATAGTAGCCCGATACTCGAATACCACAGCTGCGTAATTAAAAGTGACGCTTTTGTTAACGAAACGCATTCGCCGAGGTACCGCGTTCCGCCGCGCCGCGTCGCTCCGATCGCCAATAGGTAGAAAGCCTCGAAGCAGTTCCGTTCCGGCAGTCCAGCTGATGCCGTACCCATGGCGAAACGTGACTGAGCCTTAGTATTATTGCACCCGGAATTCATATGTATAAACCGTGTCCATGACGGTACGTAGAACGTTGTTTTCTGCAGTATGGCTTTTCTCTACGACACACAAGGGACACGGGAGACTGGATAGAATTTCATTAGAGGCGCAACAACTCGCTACAAACCTTCTCGCGTAACGGCGTCCCATCATTAACGCACTCCTATTATAGGCATAACCGTTTAACTATTTTGCTAATGCTCGACGTTATTCCACTCGGTTGGCAATTCCTAAGAGTTACGAGAAATCGATTCTGGCTCGATGCATATGCCATCGTATAACCTCAAAGTCTCATTATTTATTTTGTTTTTCGTTCACAAACTCATCGGCTTCTCTATTCGGAATTTCCTGGGCTACTTATATGCTCGGCTTTCGCAAGTGAGAAGACAGCTAGCCACCCAGGCCAAGGGCTTCTGGGAGGTTATGGCATGGCTGGATTATAGAGTTGTTTTACTGCCTCGGGGGTTGGACGTAACCTCGCTTCATAACATAACCAAATGAAGCGGGTTTGCTCCCTGGAGAAGGTCTGGGTCGGACCGTGTACCAGAGATGCTCTCATTACAAGGGACAGGATAACTGTCCTAACGCGGCTGGAGCTGTGAAAATTGAGTTTCCGAGAGAGCTCCTGGATTAACCAAGACGAGCGGAAGTCGCCGTTAAAACGGACCCCCGCCTGAATTCTCACTCGAATTCCTCTTACGATTTCAGAGGTGCTCGATTTCTCGATTTCTCAAATCCTCTTTCCTACGTGAATGCCAATGCAATTTGTACATATATAGCGTACGAGTAAGAACCAGTGCCATCCCTCGGGGTATCAAGGGTTGGCGGAATGGATTCTAAAGGGAGGACAACTGAAAGGAAGACTGGAAGAGCATTTCATTCGACGTTACTGGGATGCTGGATGAGCTGCTCCTCTAGGTACACGTTCATCCCAGACATCCTGTCATCTCAGCGTAGGTATACATACGTACATAGATATGCGTAACCAGCATCCCCTGCCAAGATTAAACCAGAAACAAAGAGAAAGCGGTGGAGGAATTTTTTACCGGCTCCGAGGCACTCCGACGTTGCAATATGGCATTTCTCTTTGTTTCCCTTCTCATTCTACTCAGCGTCCCTAACCCCCCTCTTCTCCTTGTCTACTTTTCAGCTTCGAGTTTACAGGCAACGACTTTCAAAAACTGACGTTACCTCTACTACCTACGGCCACTCTTCTGGCTTCTTGGTTTTACTCTTCGTTAACCTCCGTGCAACGAGATAGCGGGTACGTGCAGCATCTCCTGGCGAAATCGTAGATCCATAGTGACGGAATAATCCTTTTTTCATGTAAACAACAGTCTATCCATTTATTCCTGTCTTATTAGTCTATTCTTATATCTACGTTATTTCCTCCTCTTGTATTTTACCTCTAAACTATCATCCAACCGGGTCTACTAGTATATTAAGTCTATTTTCACTTGATACTCTATTCTCGCTAACTATTACAGAATTAACAACGACGCGGTCGTTCTCATAAGCCAGGACGTCTCTAACAGGGTTCTTAACTCGATTATTTCCTACAAGACGCTTAGCAACCTACCCGGGACATCGAAGTCAGCACGAAATTGGTAGACGAGGGGTGTGTCTGATAAATTTAATGACTCCCCAAGGATACGAGCTGGAACCAGGAAGAATCGTCGTATAGAAGTCTCAAGGGAGATAAGAAAAAGACAGGAGAGAAGAAACTAGAATTAAGATCCAGGCTGATGATTACAATGATCAGAACGACGAGACAACTGGATCCATAGCTTACAAGGTATATCTTTGCAACAAAGTATGTAAATTCGTTAGAGTACATTTTACTTTTATGAATTTCCACAGTGCCAAGAGATTCAAAGAAGAATTTTTAACCTCTCAGAGCGAAGCAAACTTGATCCAGTGGTGGAGGAAGACGAGGAAAGCTCGAAGCTCAAGAACCTCAGGATGCGAGTTCGAGAACCTCGTCCCTAGATTTCACGGTGCTGACTATACACTACACCCAGTCCCCTAACTCCCAGAGCCAACCGCGGCTCTTTCATCTGGAAAGCTACACGTCTGTCCTGCGAAACTTGGACTTGAGAATTGAACACGATATTCGCTGGTGCACACGTCCCACGTGCTCGACATTCGTACATGCATTTGGCGACATATATTATTCACCATGAGGAATTGCATCTATAGCTGCACATAGGTATACGTATACGTACGTGCAAAATAAGTGAAATACGTACCGTGCCTTACGATAGAACTGTGGCACTTATACAACTGTATAGAAGTAGACACGCAACGCGTTGAGGTCGCCGAGGGAAACAGCGCTATGCACAATGGACTTGCTCGCCGCAAGAGTGCACTGCTACACCCGGCCCTGGAATTGCATCCAAGTTTAGTATAACTAACTACTCAGACTTCTCGACTTCACCGGAGCGAAAAGCCCTTTCCTATGTTGAAGTACTTTAACTTTGAATTGACCTCTCTAAATATGATATTGCGTGCCGTCTGCACTCATAATACTCGCACTAGCCGTTGACTAGACTGACTCGCTAAATTGAGTTGGTTCTATTGAATTGAAAATATGATTAAGTGATGCACTCGATTTGAAATTCTTTGCTGAACTTTCTTATCGACTTTAGCAATTTTCTTATTTCCTATGAGTTTGTAGATTTGTTAAGTTTGTATACTGAGTTTACATGTAATCCTATTTCGCCATAGGATTAAATTGTATGTCTTATATGTTTTTAAACGTTTGTCTTTCAACGTGACGTATAGTTGTAGCTATTTGTACAAATATTGACTGGTCTGATGGTCGATTGTCGGGTCACCCTACTATCCAGCCCATCAATCTGATGTTCGGGCTTCGTGTTTAGGTGACGTTGAGGTGCTTAATGTGGAATAGGCATCTGGGTTTGACACATAATGGAAATAGAGGATACATTAAAACATTTGAGCAAGGACGCCTCAATTTTCATCCTTTCATCGTGATAATGTCTGTCGGTTATTACGTTACGTCGTTCCGGTGGCTTAAAACGTTTGTGCGCCTAATGGCTCAGCGTGTAGTAACATGGTTGCCATGGAAACCAGATATAAAACACGTTAGATGAATCAGAGCGATTCGTACGAATAACTATTGTTATACTTACTTTATGTTAATCGGTCATCAAATTAACGTTTATTACTGTATACTTGATGGCTCTCCGGTGAGTTCATTTATATTGATTTCAGAACTGCCACAATAGGGTATGATAACGCAGGGATGGTTCGATATGATAGTACCTACTGATGGAGTCCGAATATCATACAAAATTATGAGCCGTCAGCAGAGACAATGCTGTGAAATGAAAATTATTAAGCCGACCAGAGTTATTGAATGTATTAATTATTTAAACGACATCGCTCGCACTGGTTATCGAGCAATTACTTACTCGCGCACGAGTTACTTCGAGTTCAATAATTGGTCACGCTTCGGGACTGATCCGTTCTACTGAGTTAATCGTACAATTTTTTTCATATTTCATAGAGATTTGAATTAATGGGGTTATGCGGCTTCAAGGTGTCTAATGCTTTTATCTAATTATGGATTTAACGTATGTACAATAACGTGTAGCGTGCGTGAAGAATAATGTATGAAAAATTTTTCATAGCATTGACACTAGATTTATTTCAGTGAATAAACAGAGTATTCCCTAGATCCCCTGGATTCCCCAGGTATCGCGTAATGCAGTATTACTGCGGATGTCTGAGCCTGCTAACCAGTAAATATGAGTTTTCACTTAGCAAACCCTCCACTATCCGCCCCTATTTTTGCCCTCCCGTTAATTACGGTTATGCGTCCCAAGGTGCGGCGATATCCAACATCTCCGCTGTACCCTTATTTGGGGCGGTCCTGTTACGAATACGGTTAAATGAGAAAATTTCATTGGCTGCTTCTACGGGAAACGCTAAGAAATTTCAACGTCTATCTACATCTACATATCTACGTAGTTACCTGCCGCCATACAAATGCTTTACCACGAATTGGTATGGAGATGAATCGAGGATACTCAGCAGCAAAGGGAGATCCAAAGTCGAATTAGAAACGAAGCCAAAGGACTTATTGGCTTCGATCCGCAAGACCTTCCCAGCTAAGTCCTCCTCCATCTTAATGGAGAGTCGAGTTATCACTCGAGCGCGACGAAACTACCTCGTAAAGACAGGAAAACGAAAATGCCTTAGTCTGTCACGTATATATATATATGTATATAGATATAATATACAGGAGACATAAAATATTGTGGAATCTCGGCCGTATATTCCACATGTACATATAATACATATACCTATAGCGATTTGGAAAGGGTGGCTTCTACCGGAAGTAATATTTCGAGGAGATTTCCGAGCGACGAGGGACCCGCTGGCAATTAGGCAGGAAGTGGCTGTCACCCTTTTGCTCCCCATGAAACGAGCCGCCCCTGAAGCTGCTGGTCACGCGTCGAGATTATTTTTTGCATCGCCGCCATAAAATTGACCACCATCGACCTGTAAATCTTATTTCATACGAAACATCCTTTATACTGTAGTTATTTATGAACTATCGGAAACCTTTGGTTTTCTTCCTCGACTATCTATTATTTTCTTATAAGGGGGGCAGGAATATTTTTCTTTTAGATGAAATATCGTTAACGCACCTTAGAATCACAATGGCTTTCGAGATTTCCAAGTATAAACGTCCTCATTTCCTTACTGCCTTAGTTCTCCACAATAAGTTTAGAACTGATAAGAAACTCCAATTGCCATTTTGTTCCGCGTAAGATTTCCTATAGCCAAAAAGTCGAAGAGCCAATTACACTTTGCTATACCACGCTCAGTATAAGTGGCACAGTTATACTTATCGTTAAAACAGCATCTTCTTCGGGTACCAGAATTCTCTCATTTCATATATATATATATATACATATAGATGTCTAAGGACTTGATTCAAGTAGCAGTAACGATCGTATCCTCATTAATAGGAATATCAGCCTGAGATAGAAGCCATTTTGTACCTGGAACTTCCTTTGACTGTGTATATATAGGTAACTCATTTCCCTCGAATCCACTTTCAAATATCCTACGATGTGTTCCACTAGACTCGACCACGTTTGGCTACTTATCGAGTTTTCCATTCGACTTTGTTGTTTTTAGCATGAAGATTCTTGGGACGCAGAAAATTTCGACAGGAATTAACCGGAACGAAACGACTTCGATCGACATTTTCGCCTCCATTAGATACTTGGACGGTGGGTGGGAGAATCGTTCAGAGAGTAAAACTTTAACAGTTTCAAACCTTCCTGTACCCTCCTGGTACCACCTCCTGAACACACCGACCCTTGTAACTATAGAGGGACACTAGGATCAGTAGTACCAACGTTCACGAAATTAAAAAAAATGGCGTTTCGCGGGCTCTGCGGAATTCTACTCACGCGCCACCACTTTAATTTCGTACGAACGTCTCCCATTGCACATCCAGTCAAAATACAGTAGTCGATCCTCATGGGTCTACTTCGGGAGTTGAAAATGGCCGATGTTGCCAAGAGTCGTGAGTGCCGATGACGTTGTGGAGGGTATCGGTCTCCGGTATGCAGGCTGTGGATTTTCGAGAGGGTTTTGCCAATGAGGATACCGTGCTGGATAAAAGGGGCAAATTCCCTGAAGATTCGGCTATGGATTTCGCGAGGAGAAAAGCGTATACTTTCCTCACGGGTGCCATTATCTATGATGGAAGCTGTGAAAGGGCCCGTGAAAAAAAAAGAAGTGAGGACGCGGAACGAGTAAGAAAAAACTGGCTGTATAATAAGCCAAGGGATTTTCGTGCTACGTATAAGCCGACCTGCAGACTCCGACGTTAGCAATGCTAACGAGAAATTGCTCAGGTTCATCAAAAGAAAGGTTAGGTTAGGTTACACTCAATTTTATACTGTTAAAGATTGTTGGAAAAAGTCTCGAGCCTCTGTCTTCCTTTGCTTTTTTTTTGTAATGACACTTTTCTTTCTTCATACTTCATCCTCACTGCCACGGTAGGATGACGAGACTACGTGCTTTATCGTTATTGCCTGGGTAATTGAATTAATTGAAAATCGGACCAAAGTAAACCGGCAGTCACTCTCGTTACAGGAGACTGTTTTGATACCGCACGGTATCGAATTAAATCTCAGCTGTTTGAACAGTATGATACTCTGTAAGTAAGGAGCTTCCCTTGGGGACTGGAAACTTTATTTAAACTGTCGAGTCAAATTCGAGACCCTCCTCCTCCTCCTCGCTCCAGACCTTAGCCAGGATTACAAGATTGTCACTGATTGACAATGAAGATAAAAATATTCTTTATCACTCGCTTCTACCTTTTTCTCTCCGGAGAGATTACATGCGTACGTATTTCGATTCGTTTCAGAAATCGAACGAACAAGGAATCAATCGACTCCTTCGAGACAATCGATTCTACTCGTTACGTTCAGTTTACCGTATCACGTTTAAAGCAAACTCGGAAGACTAACGAGAATGCAACTTCTTCCCCAAGGGACGTCAAAACGAGAGAAGCATCCTCTTATACCTTTCGTGAGGTAAGCAGTGACTTCTTCTTACTCCTATTTCCCATCCCTTACCTTCATCCCCATCTCTCTCTATCTCTCTCTCTCTCTCTCTCTCTCTCTCTCTCTCTATCGCTCCCCCTTCTTAACCCACCTATTACTTCTGCCTTTAACCTACCAAGAGGCATCCTAATGATCGACCCCGATGGAAATCGGATCTTCATGGCGAAGTACTATTTCCTCCCTCTTTCGCTACCTCTTTCTTCTCACTCTCTCCCCCGCCCCACTTGTTTCTGCTTGGTTTATTTCCATCTTCTCCTACTCCTCTGCCCCATCATGGTAAATAACTTCTTTTGTAAAGTAATATAATTATGGGTTACGTAGTTTCGCGGATATCCCGCTTCTTTATTCCATTTTTACGGAATTACATCGATACCCTTTTGAATAAGGGGGGTTGCTCACTGTTTGCACTTTGATGTTCGTTGTTCTTCGCTTCTCCCCCTCCCCCCTCCTTGCCGATGTTTATCAAACGTGCCTATATCACACGTAGTATATATATATATATATACATATAGTATAGTCCATACCAAAGTCTGTACTTTTTATATATATTTTTGTATTTTCATTTGATCCTCCGTACGATAGAGGATACAACAGCATGGGGTGAATAAAGGAAGGATATCGCACGTATAACCAACCCCTGGAAAAGGTAGGTCGGTGGGGTAAAGCGAATAATGGCGAAGCCTTGGTGTTAGCCTGCCGCATTGGCACCGCTGTCCATTATGCAAATCCTTTTCCAATGCCGATACCGTGGCTCTCGGCTTACCGATTCTTCCCCGAGTGGTGACTATCGATGTTGATTTCCCCCTGTATCGAGGGGGTAGTAGGCAGCAATAGTATCAGCCAGTATATGGATAAAGGATAGTATTACGGTACCACTATAGAGAAAGATCTTCGCAGTTCTATGACACAGGAATCAAAAGAGGAGTGCCGCAGGAGAATGGGCAACACTAGTGGCTTAATGTAGTATACTACATTGATAAATTCAAGATGGATGAATTCCATCGCTCGTATCGTATAAGTAGGAGAGACTATTGATTCTGTTTTTTGATCTTTCTAGTTTATCGGATTAAACCGGCTGCACCGATATATCACTTGTGCTTAAGCATTATCAAATTATTGGATTAGGCAGGTATGATATACATTTTTTTTTTTTTTTTTTTTTTT